ACGTTAACGTTAACTTAACTTAACTTAGCATTAACTTTAACTTAACTTTAACTTAGCGTTAACTTAACTTTAACTTATCTTTAACTTAATCTTAACTTAACTTTAATTTAACTTTATCATAACTTAACCTTAACTTTAACTCATCTTTAACTTAACTTTAACTTCTCTTTAACTAAACTTAACCTTTTTTTTTACTTAACTTTAACATAACATTAATTTAATTTTAACTTAACTTTAACATAACTTTAACCTAACATTAACTTAACTTTAAATTAACTTTAGCATTAATATAACTCTCACATAATTTTGACATAACTTTAACTTAATTTTAACTTAGCTTTCGCATAGCTTAACCTTGAACATTACTTTAATTTTAAAATCATTTTAATTTTAACTTCACTCTAACGTAATTTTAACTTTACTTTAACTTAACTTTAACAAACTTTAACTTATTTTTAACTTTAACATAACTTTAACCAAATTATAACTTAACTTTAACACAACCTTAACTAAATTTTAACTTAAATTTAACATAACTTTAATTTAACTTTAATGTAATATTAACTTAACACATCTTTAACTTGACTTTAACTTTATAATAACTTTAACTTAACTTTAACATAACTTTAACTTAACTTGAACTAAACTTTAACATAACCTTAAATTAATTTTAACTTAAATTTAACAGAACTTTAACCTAACATTAACTTAACTTTAATTAACTTTAAATTTTATCTTAAATTTAAAATAAGTTTACCATTAACATAACTTGAACTTAACTATAACCTAACATGAACTAAACAGATCTTTAACTTAACTTAAACTTTATAATAACTTTAACTTATCATTAACATAACTTTAACTTAACTTGAACTAAAGTTTAACAAAACCTTAAATTAATTTTGACTTAAATTTAACATAACTTTAACCTAACATTAACTGAACTATAACTTAACTTTAAATTTAATCTTAAATTTAAAATAACTTTAACATTAACATAACTTGAACTTAACCTAACATAAACTTAACATATCTCTAACTTAACTTTAATTAAACTTTAACATAACATTTACGTAATTTTAACTTAAATTCAACATATCTTTATCCTAACATTAACTGAACTTTAACTTAACTTAAGCATAAACATAACTCTAATTTAATTTTGACATAACTTTAACTTAATTTTAACTTAGCTTTCACCTAACTTTACCTTGAACATTACGTTAACTTCAAAATTATTTTAACTTTAACTTTAACTTAAACTTAACTTTAAGTTAACTTATACTTAACATAACATAACATAACTTTAACTTACCTATCACAGAACTTTAACTTTAGTTTAACATAACTTTAACTTTAAAATAACTTAAACTTAACTTTAACAAAAAATTAACTTTAAAATAACTTAAACTTAACTTTAACTTTAAAATAACTTTAACTTAACAATAACTTAAACTTAACTTTAACTTTACTTTAACATAATATTAGCAAAACTTTAACTTAAATTTAATCAAATATAATATAAATTTAATTTATTTTTTGCTTAACTTTACCTTACTTATAACATCCCTAATAAACGGGTACCATACACTAACAATTTCATAGATGGTACGACCATACCACATAAAGTTGAGATGATATCCCGAATTGGTGGTTAGGCTCCTCTAATGGTTATTGTTTATGCGGGATAACTTTAAATAAAGTTTAACATAACATTAACTAAGCTTTAACATAACTTTAACTTTAAAATTACTTTAACTTAACTTTGACACAACTTTAACATAACTTTAACTTATCTTTAACATTAATTTAACTTAACTTTACTATAAAATAACTTGAACTTAACTTTAAATTTAAAATAACTAAAACTTAACTTTAACTTTAAAATAACTTTAACTTAACCTAAACTTTACTTGAACCTAACTTTAGCAAAACTTTAACCTAAATTTTACCAAATCTAACATAAATTTAATTTCTTTTTAGCATAACTTTAATTTTAAGATAGCTTTAACTTACCTATAACACAACTTTAACTTAATTTTAACATAACTTTAACTTTAAAATTACTTTAACATACCTTTAACATAACTTCAACTTAACTTTAACTTACCTTCAGCATAACTTTAACTTAACTTAAACTTTAAAATAACTTAAACTTAACTTTAACTCTAAAATAATCTAAACTTAACTTTAACTTAAAAATAACTTAAACTTTAGTTTAACTTTAAATTAACTTAAACTTAACGTTAACTTTACTTGAACATAATTTTAGCAAAACCTAAATTTTACCAAATTTAACATAAATTTAATTTATTTTTAGCATAACTTTAACTTTAAGATAGCATTAACTTACGTATAACACAACTTTAACTTAAGTTTAACATAACTTTAACTTCAAAATTACTTTAACTTAGCTTTAACTTACCTTTAACATAACTTTAACATACCTCTAACAAAACTTTCACTTACCTTTAAATTACCTTTAAATTAACTTTAACATAACTTTAACTTAAGTTTAACATAACTTCAGTGCTAACACTTGAAAACGGCGCAAAAGCCATTTGTAAACAAATGGTTTGTGGGCCCCTTACTCGCTACCCGAAGAACGCCCACGCAAACCAACAGCATCGTCAGGAAGAGGAAAATTTCCCCTACCCGATGTTGCTGTTGTGTCGCACGGGTGCACTTCAAGTAGTGAGTAAAGGGCCCACAAACCATTTGTTTACAAATGGCCCCTGTGCCGTTTTCAAATGTTAGCACTGACTTTATCTTTCCTTTAAAATAACTATAACATAACTTTTTCTCTTACATAACTTTAACTTAACTTTAAACTTACTTTAACATAAATTTCACAAAACTTTAACTTAACTTTAACTCTACCTTAACATAAGTTAAACTTAATTATAACTTAACTTTAACTTTAACATAACTTGAACTTTATTTTAACAAACTCTTATCTTAATTTTAGCTCTCATTTAATTTTAGCTTAACTTTAACATAACTTTTACTTTAACATAACTTTAACTTTAAAATTACTTTAACTTTAACTTCAAAATAACTTTTACTTTAACATCACTTTTATACTTAATGAATGATTCAAAAAAACTTAACATTATCATAAAATCAACTTAACTTTAACTTTATAATAACTTTAATTTTAACATAACTTATACTTTAGTTTGAATAAACCTTAACTTAACATAATTGAACTAAACATGAACTTAAATTGTGCTTAACTTTAACTCAATTTTAACTTAACTTGAACGTTACTTTAATTTTAAATTAATTATAACTTAACATTATCATAACTTTAAATTTAACATAACTTTAACCTAACTTTAACTTAACTTTAACTAAACTGCAACATAACCTTAACTTAATCTTTACTAAACTTGAAATTTTAACTTAAATTTAACATAAATTTAACTTAACTTTAACCTAACATATACTTAACATATCTTTAACTTAACTTTAGCTCTAACTAAACTTTAACATAACCTCAACGTAATTTTAACTTAAATTTAACATAACTTTAACCTAACATTAACTGAAGCTTAACTTAACTTAAGCATAAACATAACTCTAACTTAATTTTAACATAACTTAATTTTAACTTCGCATTCACATAGCTTAAACTTAACATTAACTTTAACATAACATAACTTTAAATTAACTTTAACTTATCTTTAAGATAACTTTAACATAACGTTAACATAACTTAACTTTAACTTAACTTTAACTTAACTTTAACTTAACTTGAACATAACTTTAACTTTAACACAACTTTAATTTTAAATTAATGATAACTTAACGTTATCATAACTTTAACTTAACTTTAACATAAATTTAATTTAAATTTAACGTTAACATAACTTATACCTAAATTTGAATAAAATTCTACTAAACATAATTTTAACTTACCGTTAACTTAACATTAACTTAAATTTTACTTAACTTTAACTTAACGTTAACTTAACTTCAACATAACTTTAACTTAACTTTATCTTACACATAACTTTAACTTTACTTTATCTTAACTTAAACATAACTTTAACTTAACTTAAACATAACCTTAACTTAACTCTAACTTACCTTTAACGTAACTTTAACTAAATTTTAACTTTTACTTTAACATAAGTTTATCTTACCATCAACATAACTTTTATTTTAACATAATTTTAACTTAAATTTAGTTGTTACATACTTAATTTAACTTAACTTTAAATTTTACTTAACTATAATAAAACTTTAACTTAAACATAAACATCGGGATCCGGCATCGGAATGCGTTGCATCAGTAAGGATGCTCAACTCAGCCGGATTCCTCCTGCGGATCAATTTTGGAAAATAGTTACATCAAAATTGATCCGTTGGAGGAATCCGGATGAGTTAATCATCCTTGTTGATGCTTTGCATCAGTCAATTAAATCCGCCGGATTCCTCCAGCGGATCAATTTTTGGAAAAAAAATACATCAAAATTGATCCGCTGGAGGAATCCGGATGAGTTAAACATCCTTATTGATGCGTTGCATCAGTAAGGATGCTTAACTAAGTCAGATTCCTCCAGCGGATCAATTTTTAAAAATAATTACACTTAATAACAAACTGTTTAACACCTACCTCTATTCAATTTCCGTACCCGTCCCTTAATCCGGAATTATTGGAAGCAGCCGGCTCAGCTTACCTAGCGTCCTTAATTGAATATTCGTTTAATGGAACAATTTATTTTTAGAGTCACGTCATAAGGTCCATACAATACAATATATGAACTTCGTACAGCAGGTCTTAACGTCTTTATCGGTAACGGCCCGGCACACTCAACCAGATGTCATTATTAAATAATTGCTCTGAACCGTAGGTCGCGCGTCGTTAACGACTGGCTCATTCACATCTCCGAGCAACTCGGATGGCGCCGGTCGTTGCGTGTCGCGATCATAAATAACAATCACTATTCCCAAGAGTCAATTAACCTCTGTATAATTTTCCACGAAGAATCCCAACGCGACGATCGATGATGGAAGTGAACCTGCTCTACTGGCTACCGTTGGTTGCGTTGGCCATCCTGGCCCTGATCTACCGACGGGTATCGAAGCACTACAGCTACTTTCACAGCAAACCGATCCCGTCGCTAGCTCCCGTGTTTCCGTTTGGCAGCGCGGCTCCATTGTTTCTGAAGAAGTACTCCTTCCCCGAGTACGTCCAAATGACGTACAACAAGTTCCCGGACGCAAAGTAAGCTCCAAGAGCGATCATTTAATCCACTTGGGTAGAGTAATCCTCAAACTTAACCGTTTCAGAGTGTTCGGCATGTTTGACATGTTCACGCCGTTATTCACGATTCGCGATCCGGAGCTGATCAAGAAGGTTTTGGTGAAGGACTTTGAGTACTTCATCGATCGGCGATCGCTGTTTGGCGATGATGCGATAAATTCGGAAAGTATTCTAATCACCAAAACGTTGCTGCTGTTGACCGGGCAGAAGTGGAGGGATATGAGGGCTACCCTAAGTCCGGCATTCACCGGAAGCAAGATGCGGGCGATGTTCGAACTGATCGTGACGTACAGCGATGGTATGGTTCGGATATTGAAGGATCAGGCCGGCGGGGAGGGTTCTGTGGACTACGAAATGAAGGAGTGTTGCTCGAGGATAGCGTCGGATATTATAGCGACGTGTGCCTATGGGCTGGAGGTGGAATCGTTGGCGAACCGTGAGAACGACTTCTACATGACGGGAAAGAAGATGATGAACTTTGGTAGCGTGAAGATTGTGCTGCGGGTGTTGGCGTACAGTTTCTTCCCGGGATTGATGAGCAAGTTGGGAGTGGATTTGTTCGACGGAGAACAGATTAAATATTTTACGGAGATAATCAAGCAAACGGTGAAGACAAGGGACAGTCGTGGGATTGTTCGACCGGACATGATCCATCTGTTGATGCAGGCAAAGAAGGGTACTCTGAAGCATCAACAGGAAACTGCGGAGGTGAGTGCGGGATTCGCTACGGTTGAGGAATCGGAGGTTGGCAAGTCGACAACCGGCATGACGATGTCGGATCCAGAGTTCATAGCGCAGTGTTTAATATTCTTCGTAGCAGGATTCGAGAGCATTTCTACTGAAATGTCCTTCATGTGCTATGAGCTCGCCGTAAACCCCGAAGCTCAACAAAAGCTGTACGAAGAAATTGTCGAAACGAACACAGAGCTCGCTGGAAAACCACTGACCTACGACACATTGCAGAAGATGAAGTACATGGACATGGTGACTGCGGAAACCCTGCGAATGTGGTCCGGTCCGGCTACCGATCGAAAGTGCGTTCGAGACTACGTGCTAGACGATGGCTGCGGACTGAAGTTCACCATCGATAAGGGAACGTGCTTGTCGATTCCAACCTACGCGATCCATCGGGATCCGAAGTACTACCCGGATCCGGACAAGTTCGACCCGGAGCGATTCAGCGAAGAGAACCGGGGCAACGTCAATATGACGATGTACTTGCCGTTTGGTGCCGGACCGCGGAACTGTATCGGATCGCGGTTCGCACTGATGGAGATGAAGGCCGTTGTCTATGCGCTGTTGCTGAACTTTTGCCTCGAGCGGACCGAGAAAACGCCCGTGCCACTGAAACTGGCCAAAGGATTTACCGCACTGGGTGCGGCGAAGGGACTGCATTTGCGGTTAAGGCTAAGGCAGAAGAATGCGAAGATTTAAGGTGAAATTTCCACGATCACGATTGATGTTCTAAAATACACATATGCATTTACTAGATTCAAGAATTTGTTTCACTTTTGTCACATTCACAGCCACTACAAATTGACATCAATTAAGAAGATTACATTCTCTTTTTTCCAATATAAATCTTTTGATTTGATTTCCATCGATCTTGCAGCTCCCACACCTGGACGCTACATATCAACCCATCAACTCATGAATTCAATAAAAAATTGTAATCAGACAAGCAAATAAAGCTCACATGTGCCTTCCAGATGCGTTCCTTAAAAGGCAAGCACAAAGCGATAAAGTCCCTATCAGCATACTAAACATCCAGAACAACTAGCTCTCGACTGTTATCAGCTAATTGAACATTCACTCGAGCGCATTCAATTCAGTGTCCGTCGTCACTGGAATCGCAGCAACCATGGATGTGAATCTACTCTTTCTGCTCATCGTAGTAGCCAGCCTGGTGGTAATTTACCGCCGGGTGACGAAACACTTCCACTACTTTCACGACAAACCGATCCCCTCGATGGCCAGCAATCCGCTGTTCGGCAGCACTGGCCCACTGATGCGGAAGAAGCTTTCCTTCAACGATTTCATCGAAAAGGTCTACAACAAGTACCCGAATGCGAAGTAAGTCACAGCCTACTACTGTGGCTGCCGTTCATGCTATATTCATGGTTTACATTTTTTGCAGAGTTTTTGGAATGTTCGACATGTCGTCGAAGATGTTCGTCCTTCGGGATCCGGAGCTGATCAAGAAGATTACGGTGAAAGATTTCGATCATTTTATCAACCGACGGTCACTGTTTGGAGACAGCGATAAGGACGACGGCAACGAGAATATCCTGTTTAATAAAGCGTTGGTTTCCTTGAATGATGAGCGGTGGCGTGATATGCGAGCGATCCTCAGTCCGGCGTTTACCGGAAGCAAGATGCGAGCGATGTTCGAGCTTATCGAGGAGTACAGTGTCCAAATGGTGGATATTTTGAAGGAACAATCCCGGGACACTGGGTACGTGGATTACGAAATGAAGGATTGTTTTTCGAGGATGGCCAATGACATCATTGCAACGTGCGCCTTTGGACTGCAAGTCGAGTCGCTGAAGAGTCGTGAGAACGAGTTCTTCGTGGCTGGAAAGACGATGATGAACTTCAGCAGGTTGACCATGTTGCCGCGGATTCTTGGGATAAGATTCTTCCCAAAATTGATGGTGAAGATGGGTGTGGATATTGTAGAAAGGCAGCACGCTCAGTACTTCTCGAAGATCATCAAGGAAGCTGTGCGAAATAGGGACAGCCACGGGATCGTTCGGCCGGACATGATTCATCTGTTGATGCAGGCGCGGAAGGGTGTTCTGAAGCATCAACAGGAGACAGCCGAAGCCAGTGCCGGGTTTGCAACGGTTGAGGAATCGGATGTTGGCAAGACCGTTATAAGTAGGGCGATGACCGAACCGGAGTTCATCGCTCAGTGCTTGATTTTCTTCCTAGCAGGACTGGACACCGTATCCACTGCGATGGTATTCATGGCGTACGAGCTCGCCATGAACCCCGATGTACAACAGAAGCTGTCTGAAGAAATTGCGGAAGCGAACAAGCAACTTGCGCGGAAGCCGCTAACCTATGATACGCTGCAGAAGATGAAATACATGGACATGGTGGTTTCGGAGTCGCTCCGAAAGTGGCCAGTTCCGGTTTTTGATAGAAAATGCGTCCGAGACTATGTGGTGGATGATGATGCCGGGCTGAAGTTCACCATCGATGCAGGAGCTTGCATCTGGGTTCCGGTTCATGGCATCCATCGGGACCCGAAGTACTACCCCAATCCGGAGAAGTTCGACCCGGAGCGCTTCAGCGAGGAAAACCGAGCAAACATTGACATGACGATGTACATGCCGTTTGGAAGTGGACCGAGAAACTGTATCGGATCGAGGTTTGCCCTGATGGAGATTAAAGCAATCATGTATGCGTTGTTGCTGAATTTCAGCATCGAGAGGAACGAGAAAACTGAGGTGCCATTGAAACTTGTCAAGGGATTTATGGCGTTGGGTGTGGAAAATGGGCTGCATTTGAGGCTGAAGCTAAGGAAGTAGACTTTGGGTGGATAAAGGAAACTTGTTTGCTGTTATACTTGTTAGAGTTTGAGCTCGACGAACCAATCGATTGTACAATATGAACTAAGGGGTTTCATTGAATAAATGTATGGCTTCACTGGTTTTAAATACTATAGTTACTCATATCTCATTCATATCTCAATTTCCCAAAAACTTCAGTTTAGATCAATTAAATTTTAGAAAAGCCGACGAGTACTTAGGAGGAATTTAGAATATCCAGGAATCGGGATACTTAAGAGAGGCTTAGTAAACTCCTGGTAAGCTCAGTTGAATTTGCAGTGCCTTAGGTAACCTCTGAAACCATGATTTGTATTGTTTAGTAAGACTTTACATTTTAAGAAAACTGTTATGCTATTACAGTCTCAAATTCTCGGATGACATGCTTAATTTTTCCAACGACATATATCTTGAAATTCCCAGCTTCCAGACAATCGACAAGCTCGCATGATTGTCACTTTCCAAAAAAGACAATCGTAATGCGATAAGAAAACCTCACCTTTATCATTTTCAATTACCACCTTGTCTGTTATCAATTGTTATACACCTCAAATAAATGGTCCACTGTATTCAGTGTACTGTCCATCGCCGGTTAAATTGCAACCATCATGGAAGTCAATCTACTTTACTTGCTTACCGTGGTAGCCATCCTGGTGGTAATCTACCGCCGGGTGACGAAGCACTTGAACTATTTCCACGACAAACCGATCCCTTCGATGGCTAGCTATCCACTTATTGGCAGCACTGCTCCACTGGTACTGAAGAAGATCTCCTTCAACGATTTCATCAATAAGATCTACAACAAGTACCCGAACGCGAAGTAAGTCACATCCTATTGTTCACTAGAAACCGCTAAAAATCTCCTAATCAATTGCAGAGTGTTTGGACTGTTCGACATGTCGATGAAGATGTTCGTCATCCGAGATCCGGAGCTGATCAAGAAGGTCACCGTGAAGGATTTCGAGCACTTTATCAATCGACGGCCATTGTTTGGCGACAGCAAGAACGGTTACGACAACGAGAAGATACTGTTTACTAAAACGTTGGTGGGAATGACCGATGAAAGGTGGCGCAACATGCGAGCGATCCTCAGTCCGGCGTTTACGGGAAGCAAGATGCGTGCGATGTTTGAGTTGATCGTTGAGTATAATAACCGGATGGTGAAGATATTGAAGGAACAATCACAGGATACGGGTTGCGTGGACTACGACATGAAGGACTGTTTCTCGAGGATGGCGAATGATATCATTGCAACGTGCGCCTTTGGATTGCAAGTCGAGTCGCTGAAGAGTCGTGAGAACGAGTTCTACGTGATGGGAAAGAAGATGATGAACTTCAACAGGTTGACTGTATTGTTCCGGATGATAGGGTTCAGATTCTTCCCGAGATTGATGACGAAGATGGGTATGGATATTGTTGATAAAGAGCAGAGTCAGTACTTCTCGAAGATCATCAAGGAAGCTGTGAAGGCTAGGGAGACTCACGGGATCGTACGCCCGGACATGATTCATCTGTTGATGCAGGCGAGGAAAGGTATTCTGAAGCATCAACAGGAGACAGCCGAAGCCAGTGCCGGGTTTGCGACGGTTGAGGAGTCGGACGTTGGCAAGACCGTTAGCAGTAGGGCGATGACCGAACCGGAGTTCATCGCTCAGTGTTTGATCTTCTTCCTGGCTGGATTCGAAACAATATCGAACGGAATGGTTTTCATGGCGTACGAACTCGCCATGAACCCCGATGTACAGCAGAAGCTGTACGAAGAAATCACGGAAACGAACAGGCAACTCGGTGGGAAGCCACTGACCTATGATACGCTGCAGCAGATGAAATACATGGACATGGTGGTTTCGGAATCCCTCCGAATGTGGCCAGCACCAGCATTCGATCGGAAGTGTGAGCAAGACTACGTGCTGGATGATGGTGCCGGGCTGAAGTTCACCATCAATGCAGGAGCTGGCATCTGGATTCCGGTGCACGGTATTCATCACGATCCGAAGTACTACCCCAATCCGGAGAAGTTCGACCCGGAGCGATTCAGCGACGAAAACAAGGCAAACATTGACATGGCGATGTACTTGCCGTTTGGAAGCGGTCCGAGAAACTGTATCGGTTCGAGGTTTGCCTTGATGGAGATGAAAGCAATCATGTTTGCGCTGTTGTTGAACTTCAGCATCGAGAGGAACGAGAAAACTCAGGTGCCGTTGAAACTTTCGAAAGGATTCGTCGGTTTGAGAGTGGACAATGGGCTGCATTTGAGGCTGAAGGTGAGGAAGTAGACTCATGCGACTATTTGAACATTGAAAAATATTAAATACATTACTTTATTCGATTAACATATTAAATGTAGGAGTAATTTCAGATTCACTTTTTTTTCAATTATGGTAGGGCTTTCTTCAGGACGCTAGAAAAAAAAGCATGAAGTGACTCACAATTTTAATCTAAATGCATAAATAAAGGTACTGGTACCGTCCGATTGTTCAGTTCTAGGTACTGAATTCTGAGGTCTGTGAAAGGGAAATCACTATTTTCCCACAACAGAAAGGCCCCGTATTCTTATGCAAAGTGATGGATGCGCGGGAACAACACACACGAGTTCTTGTTAAAAAAGCAATAGTCAAGCTTCTGCGTTCATTTTCCATCAGTTGTCACTGATGTTGTTGGCGGTGACATCTATCGGAAACTACACATAATCTGTTTTCCGTTAATTGTTTACAGAGGACAGATGTCTGGTACCTCTAAATATGCATTTAGATTAACATCCGAAGTCGATCCTTTTTTACACATTCTGCACACAAAATAGCTCACCCTTCACAGGATTTCCCATCGATTTCATTTAATGGGGCGGGGCAGAAAGTATCTTTTGCGCAGAATATATAAAAAAGGAGGGACATCTGATGTTAATCAAAATGCATATATAGAGGTACTAGACATGTTTTCCACTGTCAGGTACTCTATTTCGTAGTCTGTGAGAGGGAAATCACAAATAGAGTGTCATCAAAAGACATGGCTTGTTGAGAAATTGATCTAGTGAGAGCAAATTTTCTCTCTCAAATTTGAATTTTTTGGCTCTCTGGGGACTGGTAGTAAAGCAGGTTGTTTAACAATAATTTCCGGGAAAAAAACTGAACGTCAAAGTCGCTGAATAATTTCTTTAGGTTGTCGTTCACTTTTTTTGACCTGAATATGCACCGAAAGCGAATTATTCCCACTTCTCTCCAATTATATATGGGGATTTTTAACACTTCCTACCAGCGGAACAGCGCAATCTCTGTGGGAAATTGCCGTAAGGCTCCCAATATAACAACATGTGAAATTGTAGCTACGAGATGACTAAACTCAAAAATGATTCCGTTGCACATCGTTTTCTTAGAAAGAGAAAGCATAGTTTGCTACCTCTCTCTCTCTATCTACTGTTCATAGATGGCAGACACGAAGTTACTGCTGCCAACAGTGAAGGAAGTTTCGGTTCGTGTTCGGGTGTACAGCAAAAATCTTGAAGCTCAAACTTACCTCAGTTTGGTGAGAATTGTAGCTGGTGAAAGTCATTCTGTCTTCTCTTCGAGCAGATCCCCGTCAACATCAACAGAACCACTTTCGATCAGTTTTCATGCTGTTTGTTTTGGCTTGACTCGTGTTCATTTGTTCAAATGAACTTACTTTGGCATTGAAGCTTTTGTTGCTTGTTCACTCGGTTCATTTAAGCGTATGCGCATAGATCTGTGCACGTGGATGCCAAATTTATCATTGTCTGGTGGTTTGTTTACCCATCAATATGGGTATTGTTTGAATCGGGGTGACGCCTAGAGATGGAAAATTGATATGCGACGCCATTTTGAAATCCAAGATGGTGGCTTCCAATTTAAGAAAAAGTGGGAAATGCTGTCAAATACTTATCAATAAAGGTATTTTGGGAATCGGGATGGCGTCTTACCTTACCTTACCAATCAGAGGACAAGCTTTCCCAAAAAGTCGTCTCCACTCTACTCGATCCATGGCCACACTTCGCCAGCCTCGTAGTCTGCGGAGGGTCCGCAGGTCACCTTCTACTTGGTCGATCCACCTTGCCCGCTGCGCGCCTCTTCTTCTTGTTCCTGTTGGGTCGCTTTCTAGAAAAAATTTCATTGGGTCGTCGTGCGGCATTCTTACGACGTGCTCAGCCCAACGTAGTTGCCCAATTTTTGCAATGTGGACGATGGATGTTTCTCCCAGCAGCTGGTGCAATTCATGGTTCATTCGCCTCCTCCACGTTCCGTCATCCATCTGCACTCCACCGTAGATGGTACGCAACACCTTCCGTTCGAAAACACCAAGGGCGCGTTGGTCCTCCACGAGCATAGTCCAGGTCTCGTGGTCGTAGAGGACCACCGGTCTAATCAGCGTCTTGTAGACAGTCAACTTCGTCCAAAGTAGGCACGATTCCCTGCCATAATGCGTTAATTGAATTTCTCTGCTGGTATAATTTTCGACGGTCACCACAGAGCCCAAATACACGAACTAATCGACCACCTCGATTTCGTCACCGTCAATCTTAACTCGGGGTGGGAGGCTAACATTGTCTTCCCTAGAACCTCTTCCTTTCATGTATTTTGTTTTTGATGCGTTGATGGCAAGTCCAATCCGCCTAGCTTCAGCCTTCAGTCTGATGTACGTTTCCGCCATCATCTCAAAGTTCCGTGCCACTGGATGGACTTCCTGAAGATCGTGCCACTCGTGTCTATCCCAGCTCTTCTGATCACACCTTCTAACGCGATGTTGAATAGCAGACACGAAAGTCCATCACCTTGCCGTAACCCCCTTTGAGATTCAAAGGGACTCGAGAGTGTCCCCGATACTCCAACAACGCACATCACTCGATCCATCGTCACCTTGTCCAATCGCGTCAGTTTGTCCGGAAATCCGTACTCGTGCATAATCTGCCATAGCTGATCTCGATCGATTGTGTCGTATGCGGATTTGAAATCGATGAACAAATGATTTGTGGGCACGCTGTATTCGCGGCATTTCTGCAGAATCTGCCGAATCCCTCCTGGTGACAGACGGCGGCATAGAATTTTGGGAGAGTACCTTGTAGGCGGCGCTCAGCAGTGTGATCGCGCAGTAGTTGCAGCAATCCAACTTGTCGCCCTTTTTGTAGATTGGGCATACGACACCTTCCATCCACTTCTCCGGTAATATCTCCTCCTCCCAAATCCTGGCAATTATCCAGTGCAGCGCTCTAACCAGAGCTTCACCACCGTATTTTAATAGCTCACTTGGTAGTTGATCTACACCAGTTGCTTTGTTGTTCTTCAGCCGACCGATCTCCTCCTCAACTTCTTGAAGATCGGGGGCCGGTAGCCTGTCGTCTTCTGAGCGTGTTCCAAGGTCTGTTGCCATGCCGTGCCACCTTCGTTTTCTGCTGCTTCACCGTTGAGGTGCTCGTCATAGTACTGCTTCCACCTCTCAATCACCTCACACTCGTTCGTGAGAAGGTTACCGTCCAAGTCCTTGCACATATCGGCTTGCGGAACGTAGTTGCGTGGTTGTAGTTCGTCATAGATTAACGGGATGGCGTCTAGAGGCAGGAAATCGATATCCAACGCTATATTTAAATCCCATACGGCGGCTTCCTATTTCAGAAAAAAATGGGAACTGCTGATGCCGTCCTATCAATATGGGTATTTTTGGAATCGGTGTGACGTCTGGAGATTGGAAATCAACATCCGGCTCCATTTTGAAATCCATGATGGCGGCTTCGGGTTTGAGAAAAAGTTGTAAATTCTATCAAACGGTTTTTTTTTTAGAATCAAGGTAACGTCTAGAAGCCGGAAATCGATATCCGACGCCATTTTGTTTTGCCGTCTTTAAATGCAAGATGGCGGCTTTGGCTCAGAAAAAAAAACTGTGAAATACTGTCAAATACCGATCAATGTGAGTTTTTTGGAATCGGGCTGACATATAGAAGAAAGAAATCGATGTCCAACGCCATCTTGAAATTCAAGATGGTGGCTTCCGATTTCAGAATAAGTGTAAAATAGCCTACAAATGGCATCGAATATCGATTTTCAGCATCTACGCATCGTCCTCGTTTCTAAATAACCAGATCTGAGGGTATTTGACACTTTTTGTGAAACCCGATGGCCGCCAAATTGGATTCCAAAATGGCATCGGATATCGATTTTCGGCATTCACACGTTGTCCCCATTCCGAAAATACCTATATTGTAGGGTATTTGACACTTTCTGAACCCTGATGGCCACCATATTGGATTCCGAAGTGGTATCTGATATCGATTTCTGGCATCTACGCGTTGTCCCTGTTCCAAAAATAACCATATTGTAGGGTATTTGACACTTTTTTTAAAACCCTATGGCCACCATCTTGGATTCCAAAATGGCGTCGAATATCGATTGTCGGCATCTCCGTTCCGAAAATACCCATATTGTAGGGAAGTTGATACTTTCTGAATCCTGATGGCCGCCATATTGGATTCCAAAATAACGTTGAATATCGATTTCCCCGTTCCGAAAATACCCGTGTTGTAAGGTATTTGAGACTTTCCCTGACCCCGATGGCTGCCATCTTGGACTTCAGAATGGCCTTGTTAATTTAATTTTCATTTAATATAAAATAATATATTATTACTACATATAATCCGGATGCCATCCCTGTCGGCAACCGATATTGTGCGGATACTATATTTTGATGCCTGCGTCGTGACAAGTCGAATGAGCCCCGAATTGAAGTGAAAGTGGAAAAAAAACGAAGGAAGCAGTTTTCGAGTACCTAAAGGGTGATACGGTCAAAATTTGGTCAATATCAACTTGACGTATTTCTTTCAATTTTGCATTTAAAAAACCTGAACACCCCTCATTTTGAAGGTGTGTGTGTGTAAATGTTGCTCCTATTTTGATTTTGGAATTCACTCTTCAGTTGTCAAAATGCCGTCCAAGCAAGAAGAGCAGCGTATCAAAATTTTGCTCGCGCATCGCGAAAATCCGAGCTACTCGCACGCAAAGTTGGCAAAATCGCTAAAAGTTGCCAAATCAACCGTTACAAATGTAATTAAAGTGTTTGGGGAACGTTTGTCGACAGCCAGGAAGTCTGGATCGGGGGGAAATCGAAAACCGGAAGCCGCTGAGACGACAAAGAGAGTTGCCGGTAGTTTCAAGCGAAACCCTAACCTCTCTCCGAGATGCCGCAAATAAGCTGGGTGTATCGTCTACAACCGTGCATCGAGCCAAAAAACGAGCCGGACTATCGACTTACAAGAAGGTAGTGACTC